ACACTTGCTTCTCCAGATTGCATTTGCATGAGGTCTAGTTGGACTAGTAATCATCTTCTCCTGTTGATACCACTACTGACTGTGATTCAGATCCCACTGTGACAGCTTCAATGGTGCAGTGCCAAGGAGCCCTGTGACAGTTTGCTCTTCTTCCACTCTCTGCAGTGAGGGCTCTGAGCCAGTCCTTCCATGTGAGAATCGGCACTTTCCTCATTTCAGGCTGACTCTGGATATGTGCTGTCACTCAGAGCTCAGCCTAATCTCTCAATGTTTTCATGTATCTTTGGTTGTATGTGATTAAAATTATGTGCATTTTTTTTCTAATAAAGGCTTCTGTAATTAAAAAAAAAATCCTCTGGACCCCATCACAGCATCATGGCCAAACCTTGAGGGATTTGGAGGGCAGAGAACTGTCCTCTTCAACCTGTACATCTACACACAGAGAAAAAGTATGGCCAGGACCCTAACTTGGCAGTAGCTGTGAAGAACAGACAGCACATTTCTTCAGTGGACAGGCCCCCTGACTTACAGTTGGTACCCAGGAAACCCCAACTTCAAGCAGACAAGGAGGCCAGGGCCAGGGAAGTCAGACCATCTGGACTTTGGTAGGGTCACAAGGGCAGCAACATCAATGGCAGCCCCCGAAGAAGACTCCTCATTAGGCTGAGCCAAATCTAAGGTTTCTCTTCTCTGTCTGAGACCACAGTAATCGGCATTGAGCTTTCGGTCTGAGCAATCATTTTGTCTTGGGGAATTGTCAGATGAAACCCCAAGGAGGAAAAAATTGCCATCCCCTCAGGTGCAGGGAACAAAGGCTCAGAATCATTGAATTTGAATGTATAAGTTTTATATACAAAACTGGGAAGCAAGGAATATCGATTTCACATTTGTGGATTCTGGGGTCATTCAGCGCCCATTCATTTTCTAACAGCACTCTGGCTCCTTTTGAGAAATGACTTCTTACCCACAGTTTGGTAGGACAATAACCAGGGGCCATGCTCTTCCTTACCCAAGGGACTAGCACAAGATTCAGATTGAGCCAACTGGGTGCCACTTCCCAGTGTTTAAATCTGAGCAGAGGGCCAAAGATCCTAGAAGTTCTAGAGCTTCACTCCACCCCACGGACAGTTCTTGCCAGGACCGCTACAGGTCCTGCTTCTTTGCTGCTACAGCTGCCTCATTTCTTGCCACAGCCCCAGCACAGTCTTCCAAGCTCCTGGTAATTCTATGAGCCTCTGATAGCCTTCCAATAAATTCCTTCTAGCTTAAGTTAGCCAAGATTCATTTCTATGTCTTGTAATCAAAGGCATGTAACTAATTTACACCAACACTTATACAATGGGTGACAGTTTACAATGCATTTGCTCATTTAATACCCCATTTCACTCCCATAACACCCTGACATGAGTTGAACAGATATTTCTTATTTGATACGTGTGTGTGCGGGAGGGAATAAAGACTCAAAAAACCTGCTCGTATCCTCACAGCAAGAAAGTGTTCCCACGCCCAAGACATTTGGCCTCACACCCAGCTTTCTTGGAATGCACCGCAGTGAGGTGTGAGTCCCTCATCTGTTCCCCACAAAGCAGCGAAAGGAAACCAAATTAATTGGAAATACCCACATTCTTTTGCTAGCACTCAGGTGACTAATATCATGGGCCTCTTTTTAAATTTGCTGTAAAATGCTTAGGGAATCTAGATGTAAAAATATTCTGTAATATATACTGCGGCATTATGAATGGAGCCAGACCACAATAGGATGGCATATTTACATTTGGAGAGATTGGAAGTTATGGCAAATTGGCTCTCATGTCACCCATAATCGTTGCCTCTTTCGGGAGCGATACCTAAGTTTATCATCACTGTGTAGAAGGAAATGGCTTCCTGGAAACAAAAATAAACATGCCTATTTTCCCAAAGGGCACTGACACCAATCAAGAGGGGTCTGCAAATAGACCCCACATCAGTGATAATTATTCCTCTAATTTCTAGACGTTTTTCTTTATTCGTAGAAGAAAATTTGTGAATTCAAAGCCCCATTGAAACTGAATTGATTGCTATAAGATTTGTCTGAAGTCACTAATATTCTTTTGGAATTTAAATAATTTGCCTGAAGTTACATTTCAGGTCCTTAGCGATGCTTGGTGCAGGAGGCAAGTAGTACAGTCTAGAAATGCAGCACTGAGAAATCACCCCAAAGCATAAGCCTCGAAGCCCCTCCACTCAGTATCACAACTAATGTAAGCTTAGATCTTCCAGGCCTCGCATCACTATTGATAGATCACCCCTTCCCCGAAGTGGCAGGTGGAGTAGCAGTAATCATGATGCGGCCTGCAGCCCAGAAATACCAGGAGGCCCAATTCTGCACCTTATATGGACTATACATTGAATCACCTATCAGCGCCAGCAGACAGCCTGGCGGGTCTTTCTCCTAATAAAGCCTGTAATACCTGGTTTTCGGCTCCTGACTGATCTTTCAACTATTAGAACAAGTGTCTCTTGACGAAAGTAAGAAAACACTCAGTTCCTGGTACCACCTGCTTTACACTCCTGCAATAAATATTCCTCCGTTTAGAAGAGAACCCTTCATAGAAATGCTTAACATATGAGCACTAAGGAAATAAACAAACATGGCAGGAAGAAGTTTATGAAGGTGTTGAATTCATACAGGCTTTAAAATTTGTATTTATATTAAAAATTTCTCTTGTCAACATCTGCTCCCTGTCAACATCTATTCTATGCCCTTTTATTACAAATGACAACACCATCTAGATAACATGTATTTCATAAGTAATAGCCATTTTGAGACTTGATATGGGAAATGTGGGACAAAATATTTCTTCCAAATCCCCAAATGCGAAAATAAAATGCTCTTTAGCCAGGGGAAATGTGAGAAAAAGATTCCCCCTTAATATGTATCCATACTGAAAGATCAGTCAGGGGCTGAGAACCAGGTATTACAGGCATTATTCGAAGAAAGACCTGCTGGGCTGTCTCCCAATGGGAGCGCAGCGACCCGGGCAGAGGTTGAGCGCTCCTTTTGAGGGGAGGAATGGAGGCTTAGGGTACTCGGCGGGTGCTGATAGGTGATTCAATGTATTGTCCATATAAGGTACAGAATTGGGCCTCCTGGTATTTCCAGGCTGCAGGCCGCATCATGATTACCGTTACTCTGCCTGCCACTTCTGGGAAGGGGTGAGCTATCACATACATAAATAAGAATTCTTGAGCCTATTGGTATCACTCATGCTTGGGTACATATTAACTGAGTCCACAGTTTGTTTTGTTGGTTTTATTTGATTTACTTCTTAATTTTTACGAAGTTGATTTATTGAACCAACACTAAAATCATTATGGCCCAGAAGTTTAAGTCAAAGTCTAAAACTGACCAGTAAGCAAAAGAAATGAAGCAGAAGAGAGTGAAAGCATTTATATAAATTTCAACAATCAATAATTATATGATATGCCAACCGGAAAGTCTCCAAACAACTATGGAAATTGATCCATGAAACTTCTTTCTATTCTTAGATAATTAAAAATAATAAATAATTCCTAGAGTGATGGTGTATAGCACCAAGTTCAATGCTAGTCAGATGTGATTTCTACTCTTAACTGATTTTAGTGCTTTTCTTCTTCTAGCTTAGTGATTTGTTAGTGCTTTATGTTTTTTTTTTAAATATATTGCTCCCTGTTGCAGGTTAAGCGCCTGGTTAATATTCCTATGCATAACAACTACTTTTGATATGAAAATCAAGTATTGCCAAAAGCAAATTAAGTTTGGAAAACCAAAAGACTTATTTGTAGGGTGTGACTTGGGTGGAGGGGGGGCAGAATGGGAGTAATGTTAATATTGGGTGTTTTTCCCCATTGAGAGTTCTCTTCTGAAAAAAGAAAGTTAGATTAATACGAAGAATCACTTCTCTTGCAGCCTTCCCATTCTCTTTTTACTCCATTAAAAAAAAAAAGTTTACACATAATTACTTACAGAGTGCATAAATCCTTTGGAGAGTGAGTCCTACTTTATTTGGGGGAAGGGCGGGAAAGAACTAGTGTCCACAATTTGCTTGCTTGCTTTGACCTTTTCCATAGCTCTCCGTAGTCTACACCTCTGACAGGCTCTATCTAAGATGCGGAAGTAGATCAAATTTCCTTTCTTCTTTCCCCCGGTTAATGACATTTGCTGTGAAGGCCAGGTGATTAGTAGAGAATTGGGAACTGGAGACAAAGAGCCAGAAGGCTGTACCTCAGGAATAATATCCTCCATTTATCTGACAAGAGTACTGTGACAGTTTCCAAGTTATTCATGTGTATAAATAACGTCACCACCCACCTGGCATTTTCTCAGAGACAGCCCTCTCATAGCCTCTCTATAGTTTCTACAGAGAACAAATTTCAGTCTCATTTCAAGTCACCTTGGGGTGTTAAATATTCTATTTATTCCAAAATATACATTGCTAAAAAAATAATTTTAAGATCATTTGTTTTTTATCACGTCTCTAAATGTTCTATTTCCCAGATTGTCACCCACCCCCTTACTCATCAGCCTTGGCTCCGAATACATTCAGACAGTCTTTCAAGTCAAACACACCCTCAAAAGATGAAAATCACTGATAACATTCTATTTTTTTTCAAAATGATTTTTGTGAGTTTATTTGAGCCAAACTGTCAACAATTGCCAGGAAGCAGAATCTCAATGGACTGGGATAATGCTCTGGAGAATGGTGGTTTTTCACCTTGTT